ATACTTATATTTTATTTACTTTTAAAACAAGCAAATATTTATTGAAACAGTTTTTATATTTAAAAAAACGAATTTTCTTCTTGTAAGGAAGTCATTTGCTTAATCATATATATAGATCTTTTAAATCAAAGAAATCATTTTTTATCTAAAAATTCATAATTTTACTTATTTTACAAATTTAAAAAAATATTACTTTATATTTATTACATATGTTCCAAAATCTAACAAATATTTTTTAAGTTAAGAAATTATACTTAATAAAATATATTTCTTTGATTTAAAGAATTTTTTAATGTACATTACCAATTTAAATTTCGATTTTCTTATTTCTACATTAATTTAATAATTATAAGTAATTATATTTATTTTTTTCATGTGTAATATTTATTGAAATATTTACAAAATATTACTATTAATATTTATTTTTCGTTTATTATAGATATTGTATAAAATTTTTAGTCTACATTTTAATAATATTTTAAATAAAGATTTTGATACTTTTCCTTTTTTATGTGTATAAAAAAATATTTATAAAATATTTATATAATATTTTTAAAAAATAATTCGAAATGAATATTTATAAGTATTTATTATTAATATTGTGTGGTGTCTGGGTTAATACTTTAAATCTTGACAGTATTTTGCGTAATTATTTCATCACTTAGGAAAGTATTACATATTAGTATTTAAATATTGACAATGCTCTGCGAAAGTATTTTATCACTGAACGAAGTATTACATATCAATATTTAAGTATTGAAATCAATCATAAGGTAGTATTTGTAACACTAAACACTGAAATACTTGAGCACTAATGGCTCCTGCACACGAGACGCGGTAATGCTTGCCGCGCGGCGGAAGTTCGCGCGACAGCCTATCAATATGCTACTTTCCGTAATAACCTTCTAGCTCTTACGGAAAAACAACATATTGATTGGCTGTCGCGCGGCAAGCATTACCGCGTCCTGTGTGTAGGAGCCATAAAAGCTGTATTTGAATCACAGAATATTACTAAACACTGTACTTTTAATACTGGAAATAAGTAATTAATCAATAATTTTCAGTATGATATTTCTGTAAGGGTATTATAACGTATCTAGCAAATACACGCGTTGATTCGCCTATCTATTTTATTTAATATCTCTAAAGTTTATGTAGTTATTTGCAAAATGACTTTGACCATTCCTTCCAGTTTAATGTTTTTCGAGTAATCTGACATTCCTATCTTTGTAATACTATAATTGAAACGGAAATCTAAAAAAAAACTGACGTCTCCACTTAGAATAAATTTTTTATGTAAAACGCGCGCGATAGCGATTACGAACTAAAATTTACAATACAGTAAAACAACTCGTTATTTTTAGGTAAAAGAAAAAAATCTTAATGTCTTAGTAAAAAAATGACCTAAAATGTATTAATTTTATTAATGAATAAATTACGTATAACTTATTTATGAATAAAATATTAAGAAATTTATAGAAAGAAAAGAATATTATAGTAAGTTTATTGTGATATATTAAGGAGTATGTCCAGTGTAGCGAGTCTTAAAATATCAGTAAACAAATATCCTGTATATTTCAAGTCAAATCTCTAGTAAAAATAAAAACATTTTTACACTTAAATCAAAAGATATATATTAGACATCGACTCAATATCGAATAGATGTTTAGAGAGATTGTAAATAATCGACAAAATAAAATCCTGAAATTTTATTTTAATGGTCAATATATTATGAATGGATTCTAAAACATTAAAATTTACTGAAAATAGAAGACGTCTAAATTGCCATTTTTCTAGACGTGCATTTAGACTAAACATAACTTAGATTTCGCCGACATCGGTTAGATGTCGAATCGACGTCAGCGTTCTCGCTGAGCTGTGTCAACGGCTCACTTAGATTCGCGAAGCGCAAGATGAAACGATACTACAAGGCCATCCCGAGGAGTTGTCAAAGTTATTTAAGATTCCTTCGAACCGGATAATCTAAAATTTGTTGAGCCTTGTCCGAATCCACTCGAAGCCCATCGCAACGTAATAGAAATTCCAAATATCGAATTTGTAAACAACAAAATTCGCATTTTTCCAGGTTGACGACTAACCCATCTGAAACCTTTATTAAAACTCGATCTAACCAAACTAAATGCTCCTTGAAAGTGTGACAAAAAAGGGAAAGAAAAGGTAAGACCTATCTCGTTGTCGTCTTGTATGGGAAAACTAATGGAGAAGCTAATAAATGAAAGACTGAATTGATGGATCGAGGAGAAAGGCTTTCTAGATTGTAAGCAAAATGGATTTAGGACAGGGAGAGGAGTGTTGGATAATCTAATAGAGTTAGTGGTTGACATTAAAAACGGCTTCTATAGAGATAACGAAGTTACATTAACAGCTTTTCTGGATATAACGGGAGCATATGACAACGTGAAGGGGAATATTTTAATAAGTAAACTACAAAAAGTAAAATGTCCCGCCAGAATGTTAAAATTTATAAAATTTTGGTTGGAGGAAAGAGAAGTTAAATTTATAATAGGAGAGAATGAAGAGGTAGCAAGGACAGTAAGACAGCAAGGGATTGCCGCAGGGAGGGGTTTTTAGCCCCTTGTTGTATGCCATCTACACAATGGATATTGTCAAGAAAATAGATGGAAATGTAAAGGTTTTACAGTTTGCGGATGATATAGCAGTTTATGCTACGGAAAAAGAAAGCGTTGAACTAAAAAACCAGGTGGAAAGGCAAGTGAAGCAATAAAAGAAGAATTGAACAATTTAGAATTAGACCTAGAGCCGCAGAAAACACAGTATATGAGATTCAGGAAAGAAGGTGAGGAAGTTGAAGAAAACAGGAAGATATGTATAGAAAATGTAGAAATAGAAGAAAAGGAAGAAAGTGTGTTTCTGAGTATTAAAATGGACAAAGACCTAAAATTTAGAAATCAAAGAGCCAAGGTCGAAGAAAAAATGAAAAGAGCAAATAGCCTGTTGACATATATGAACAATATTGGAAAAGGTATGGAGATTAATACGGCGTTATTAATGTACAAGGTCCTGATCAGATCTATCTTCGACTATGGTAGCTGTATATATTTTCCTGAGTTAGTGGAAAATGAGGAGCTAGAGAAAGTACAATTTTTAAGTTTATGTTTGGCGATGGGTTATAAGATATCTGCTCCCAAAAATGTAATTCTCGAAGAATCAAAATGTATGAATCTGAGGGAAAGAGCAATGATATTAGCGAAAAACTTTCTCGCGAAGATGATGATATGGGGAAGTAAAGACTTGAAGGAGAAGATTAGAATGTTGGAAAGTTACGAAATAAGAGATCGGATGAAGAATCCTAGAGGGCAGGGGTTGGTAATTACGGAAGCATGGAGAAGAGTTAGGAAGGATAGAGGATTGGTAGAGAGGTCGGTGAGGTTATGACCTTTTTAAGGAAGATTATTGGGAATTTGACGGACAAAGTTGATACTGAATTTAGTGCAAGGGAAAATAGGAAAAGTAAACTTATTTCAGATGAGGAAATGATCAGGCAAATAAGTGAGGACCATAGAATAAATGATGGAAAAGTGAATATATTTTTCACGGATGGATCCAAAAAGGGCAATAGTGTGTCAACGGGAGTAGGCATAGTGGAAGTTGGAAATGAGGAAGGGAACTACATCAATATTTACAAGAGATGTTTGGTTTTTACAACTGAAGTGATAGGGATAGCAAAGGCGCTGCAGAAGATAGAAATGGAAGAAGATAGGGAGGGAAACATCCTTATACTGATCCTTATACAGATTCGAAAAGTGCAATCCAGGGAATAGAGTGTAATGAACTGTATGTATACAAGAACAAATATATTAGAGAAGTAAGAAGGAGATATTTTTATATTAAAAGAAAGAAGAAGAAAAAAGTAGTACTAGTATGGGTTCCCGGACATTGCGGAGTAGAAGGAAATGAGGTAGCAGATGGATTAGCTAAGGCAGGAACTGAGGAAAAGTGTACCAGGTTACTTAAAGTGTCTTTCAAAGATCTGAAGGAGGAATACAAGAGGGATGGCAGAAGAAGAACAAGAGAGATAAATGTTAGAGAGAGTGAATGGAAGGACAAAGAATATTTTAAGAAGTTTTATAACAGTAAGAGAGAAAGTCCGTGGTTTAAAGATAGAAACGATGAAAGAGGTTTTAGCACAATGATAAATAGGATCAGGTCGAATCATTATAACTTGAATGAATCGTTAGGAAGAAAAGGTATAGTTGATGTATTAAGGTGTAAATGTGGAGCTGAGAAGGAGACAACAAATCACGTTTTATATAGCTATGGGAAATATATTGCGAAGAGAGAATATATGTTCAGAAAAATTGAAAGAGAAAGGAAGAGAGTAATATGTAATGTGGATAAAATGATATAAGAAGAAGAATGGGGCATATTGTTCATCGTGTATCGGTTTTTGAAGAAAATAGGGAAACAAATTTAAAAAGGGAGAGAAAAAAAATAAGGGGGGGGGGATTTTTTGGGGAAGGCATAACAAGTTATTTTCTAGGGTAAAAGAAGAAGAGGATAGTGTGTCAAATAGTCGCTAAAACCTCGGCGAAGACTGATGGCACGGTGACAGCGTCACCAAATTTAGAGGAAAAAAAAATCCTTGAAAGTGGAAGTCACGATGACAATGTCATCGAGATAGGCGAAAGCATGGGGCTCAATCTCCTAGTATTTTACTAATAAATGAAATATATTTTTGTAACAATGGCATTATAAGAATTCCAGTGAGATGGAAGAAAGTGATAGAGCAGAATGGCTCGTATATACTTCAATAAATTATCATTCATGAAGTTTGCATACTTAATTTCTAATAAGAAAATGAAAATAACTTTTGGGAAAACCTAACAATTAGTTTCGTAAGGAAATACTTTAAGGAATCAATTCAATCCATCTATTCTATCAATCGATTTATTTTAGCCATTGTGGTGAAACCAGAGTACTTTTCATTGTGTATGTACTAAGTGCAAAATACTATCATATCTCTTGATATTTTAAACATTTTATTTGATGTACATATTCATTTATTATCGTTTTTCATATTTAAAAGTTACAAATTATGTCAGGCAACACTAACATTTTGTCTTCTTCTTTTAACTTCACTGTTTTTCCCCGTCGTCTGTCCATGACTTCTTTTCTGTGGAGACTTTAAACGTGTAACCTTATTATCATTTAAATCTCCATTTTGTAAAATTCCTGTTATATCTTCTTGATTTGCTGTTAAAATCACTTTGCTAAAATTAAATGGCTCTATATCTTTAGATATAACTTTTGCACGTAATTCATAGGTTTTTTTCTTCAATATTTGTTTATCTTTTTGTTCATTTTTATTTTCTTTCTTTTTCTTTTGTACATTATTATTAAAAAGTGAAATCTTTTCTTTTGAATCATTTGTTCTTTTATCTTCCAATCTCGCACTGCTTTGTTTGCTATTATCATATGTAGCAGTATTAATTGAATAATTCAACCCAGTATTGTCTTTTATTGATATCCTAGTAATACAAAAATCGTATTAGATAATATAATTATATTAAATAATAATAAATATTAAATAAATTATATTAAGTAATATAATCACACATGAAATTAATATTTTTATTAATAATTTATTAGAATCAAATTATATTTATTGTTGCACTTACGTATTAACCAATGGTCCTATTTTCATTTCAAATTTTTTATATGCGCTTTTTACATCTTTGGAAAGAATATTTTGTCTTGTATATATTGCTAATGTAGTTTGAATGTTTTGCCAATTCCATATTTGTGGCAAATGGGATGTACAAATAACACGCAATAATGTCAAAAGAAGACCAATGAATTTTTGTTGTACTTTCTTTTGCACGTCAGTAACGTTGCACAAAAAAGATTGGCCATTGTCATTTGCAGATAAATTACATAACTCTCCAAACGTGTGTATGGTATTATTATAAAGCTTCGTTTCTAATTTAATTCTCACGTCTTCATAGGTTGTATTCATATGATGCAAGCGATTATTATTGTAAAAAATTAATAATAATTCAAGTGCCTGACTTCTACGAAAATATCGAATATTGCTATCAAAAGCAAAGTCCACCTAAAAAATAAAAAAAATATTTAATCGAAAAATATACAATATAAAAATATTATAAATTATCGGCACATGAATATTTGGACACAATATTATATTATTATTTATTAATTAAAACAAAGAATTGCACACTCGTTTGCATGTTTTTTTCTTCGACAGAAATCAATGCACGTATAGTGCAACCAATATCCAAAAAATAAAAATTTACCTTCTGAAAAACATATTGGATATTGATCGTATCTGAACGAACAGAAACGAACATCAGAAACGAACATATATAAATGTATCAATTTTCAATAAAGTTAAAATCACACCATGCACGATTTTCATATTTTCTGATATACTGACCATCACACTGTATGCAAATTAATTTACTGCATGGATCATTCCTTTTCCTCATGAACTATGCAAGCTTGTCATTATAATTAGTTATTTACAGAGTTGAGAACTGAGTTATTTAAAAAAAGTTATTGTTATCATTACTTTTCGTAAAAAATAACTCGTTATCGTTACCAAAAAAGTAATAGTGTTTGTTACTTTTTCGTTACTTTTTTATAATATTAAAATAAAATATGTAATTGATCAGTGGCGTAGCCGGGGTAAGGCTAAGGGGGTTACAGCCCCCTCGAAATTAATTTTCTAGGTTATGCTAAGTGTGAGAAAAATTTTTTCAAATAACTTATTTTTTGCTCGTCAAAAATAAAAAGTGCAGCCCACCCCCAAAACTTTTCTGGCTACTCCACTGTAATTGACTTTAAAATAAAATTGTTTTTAAATTTAAATTATTATTTGTAGTGTAGCCAGTTCATCTAAAAAGAACAAATTATTTAAAACTGTAATAATCTTGACTCGGAAAACTAATATTTCTTTATAAGCTTGATTCTCTTATCTTTTATTATTCTTCGCACAAAAATTATTGTCAATACAAAGTCAAATTTTTCAATCTGCGCTCCTTATAAATTTTTAATAAATTTAATAATAGATATAAGAATATATTTAGTGTAATACACAACTTATTTCATAGTTTCTTACAAAAATAAACTACACTAACAAGGGGAGGACCAGGTGATTCACCCTGGGATTTGGACTCCAAATTTTTAATTATTCTGGAGACGAAAAAAAAAGATACGTATCCCGGCGTTTGATCGAATAGGCCTTAATTTTGGAGTAATAAATTTGTGAAAATTGGCCATATCCGAAGCGCATCGCGGCACGCCATATGAGCCTTCCCGGTAACTGTACTTCCAGTGCAGTTGGCTTCGTGAGTTAGGTGCTTGCTTCATAATTCGTAAGATCCAAGTTCGCTCCCGGAGGTGAGCAATAATTTTTTTTTCTTAATGAGTGTTTTTATTTATTTTTATTTATTTTGATGATATTGATATAGTATGCAAATTTTTGAAATAGAAAATTTAATTTAATATCACATTCTAAACATTAATTTAAATTTAATTTTAAGGGAATTTTAATTCAAGTAATAATATTTGAAATAATAAATAAATAAATAAATAAATAAATAAAATAAAAATAATAATAATAAATAATAATAATATAAATAATAATAAATAAATAATAAATTTGCATACTATATCAATATCATCAAAATAAATAAAAATAAATAAAAACTCATTAAAAAAAATTATTGCTCACCTCCGGGAGCGAACTTGGATTTTACGAATTATGAAGCAAGCACCTAACTCACGAAGCCAACTGCACTGGTTGGAAGTACAGTTACAGGGAAGGCTCATATGGCGCGCCGCGGTGCGCTTCGGATATGGTCAATTTTCACAAATTTATTACTCCGAAACTAAGGCCTATTCGATCAAACGCCGGGACACGTTTTTTTTTTCATCTTCAGAATAATTAAAAAAATTGAGGTCGAAATCCCAGGGTGAGTCACCTGGTCCTCCCCTTGTAAGCATTACTATCATTAAATTTATCAAAAACTTTTAACAGCTAAATTACAAAACCGACTTTGCACTAACAATGATTTTTACATGAAGTATAAGATAAAATATACTGTCTTCTAGCGAATATCGAGATATTTTTATCCAATCAAGAATATCTAATACACGCTATCAGCGCGCGACCAGCGCATATTATTTATTGAATAGAGATAATTAAAATAACGATAATAATTAACGGTTAAATAACGATAAAAACAACGATAAAAGTTAACGATAAAAGACAACGGTTGAATTCGTTATCATTATTGTAAAAATATAACGATTATAAACAGAATGTTACTATTATAAACAGATGTTACTATTATAAACAGAAAAAAATATCGATCATTGTTGAAAAAAGTAACGATAACGGCGTTACAAATAATGCAATACTTCCCAACTCTAGTTATTTGTATGTACAATTCTCATTCTTACATATATACAACATTGAAAATCATATAAATCATTCTTATTATAACAATAAGGTATTCGTGACGCAAAGTGTATGAAACCAAATGTATCCAAAGAAGCGATAGAATTAATGCCAAAATATCATAACTTTCCCTTCATTACTAGACATTCCCCTTATAAAATATATATCCAGAGATATTCTATCCAAATATTCATATATCAATATTATAAATATTAATAATTTATGAATAATGAAATATAAATATTGATGATATATTAATATTTTTTATAAATTATACTTGTCTCAATACATACCAGTGCTGATGCTAGTTGCCAATTACCTTTCCAACAAAGTTGTAAGACACCCTTAAATAGCATAAATGAAAGGACACAGTCTCTTTTTTTAAAGAATGCAGTTAAGTTTTCGACATAAATTCCGACAACACTTTCAATTGATAAATTAGCATGTTGCATATATCTTACAAGAAATGTACAACATTCTGCTAATTTATCACTTATTTCTTGATACACTGAAGCAGAACGTTCTCCTTTCTCGATTAGAACCTTGAAGAAACATATGTTATTTATAGAATAAATTTGTATTTAATTAAAATAAATAATTACCTTTAACACTGTTGTTAATAAATTATCATCAATATTTGTTATATCATTAAACTTTCTTATTGCTGCCAACTTTTTCAAGCAAGAACGAACTCTACGCTCAAGAGATTTCTGATGTGGGTCTTTTATACAAAACTCTAATAAGGAAAAAAGTGGCACAATCATGTCTACAATAATTGACATAGATGGACAAGTTTCTAAATAAATATCCAATAAATCTATGACACGGATTCTAAAATGTGTCAAAGCTTGATCCGTTTTTTCTTGCTTTTTATTGCGAACTCGACGGTTTACTCGCAAAATTTTGAAAGCTGCTGCTAAAGATTTATCTAATCGCCTAGCTTCGTCGTCATTTATTTCGTCTATATCAATATCTTCTTCGTCAGATTTGATTGCAGCATCACCTAGAGCTCGATGTACTGCTATTCGCAATCTATCCGTCAATGCTTCATCTTCGTCTAAAATTTCACTATCAGATTCAGCTTCACTATCTTCTGATGAAACTACTTCACTGTTTGAAACATTCACTGTATTATCAACATCACTATCAGATTCATTTTCTTGACCTGAACTTTCATCACTTTCATTCATGGTAAGTGCATTATAATCATTTTTTATATCCAACACCTAAAATAAAACATATACAACAATGATATACAGATAATATATAGGGTGTCTCGCACATATATTTAATTTTGCTACTCAAAATAATTCTTTTAACACGATACACAAAAATGTTTTTGGCGAAAGTTAAAAGATTTTGAGGAAGAGAAAATTAACATATTTATTTAATTTTAGTACAACTTCAAAAAACTATCAAAATAAACATTTGGTTTTTAACAAATAGAATTATAATTTTTTAAGATAAACCAATTCCTCTAATAATTTTGTGTATAACATAGTACTGATATAAAATCACCAAAAAGTGAATACTTTCCAAAATATTTTCATTTTATTCTGATATTTTTCAATACAACCAAAATATGAAAAATCAAACTATTCACTTATTGACAATCTATATTTAACTTTTAGACCGCCGGAAAGCGTGACTATAGACGCAAGCTGTGGTCGGAACTTTGTATATGATATTTCTATGATATAAGGTACAACTTTAGGTGACTTTCTTTAAGGATTCGAACACTTTAAATCCCGGCGGTCTAAAAGTTAATACTTTTGTAGGTGGAATGACGAAAGAAATCTATCTGTGATATTAATTTGAATATTAATACATGAATAAATCTACAAAATGCTACAAGGAGGGCGGGGGGATTTTGTTTAAAGTTCCTCTATATTCTTTTTAACAATAAATTACATTTTTCATTTTACGTAAAAGTATTAAGATGAGATTATCAATAAATGAATACTTTTTACAAAATATTTCATATTAGATATTGAAAATAAAGTTAAAATGTAAAATATCTCGGAAAGTATCCCACTTTCTAATGATTTTACACTTTTATACATAGAATGATATTAAATACAGGAAACGATTAGTGTTTAAATAAAAATCGCATGATTCCGTTTAGAAAATTAAAGATGATTTTGATGGGGCTTACAAGATCATTCTAAGAGATCAAATATATATTTGATATTTGAGGCTTCCGTGATGTCTATGAATATTAGATTTAATTTCCGGATTTGAACCGCGTGAATATTTTTCATATAATAGAATAAGAATATAAAAGAAACGCAAAAGCAACGGAATAATTTAATATATACATTCTACAAATTTATCATAATTTAATTAATATATTAATATTAAAATTAATATACTAAAATATATTTGCAAGCTCTACATGTGAAAATATCTCTACTAATATTAATACTGATAAGTCTTTTTATTAATATTTTGCGTACAGGAAGCATGTATACATGCTTTCCTGTTATATTTTGGAAACCATCCAACTTTATATACGGAGTTTTTTGATGATACTTTTTCCGATTCTGAAGTAAAAAATTCGAAATTCAGAAGACAAAGCCAATATGGTCGACATTAAAATTGGACAAAAAATGCAAATATTCAATTTTCATGGGACTCATAATATAGGTGTTTTTGGTGATGCTCTGATTTTGAGATCAGAAATAGCAAATTGAAAAAGCAGACTTAAAATAACAGACTAAAATCATGAAAAATGAGAAATTTATCCAACTTTTAAAAAACTTAAACTAAGATGATTATACTATCATCAAATCTGAGATGAAGAATATGAAATTCAAAATGACAGACCCAATATGGAAGATTTATAAATAAAACGTATCTGTTCAATATACATGTAGTATATATTTAAGAATGGATGGAATGAGGGATTCATAAACTGATGTGTATGTAAAAGCAGTGTATACGAGAAGTTCCTAGCCTCCTCCTCTACTCTCTTCCAAAAAATCTAATCTATATTAATATTTTTTTGAGAATATATTCCTTTGTTTATTTGTGTATTATTTATGCATAATACAACAAATATACGAATACACAAAGGAGTGTATTAGGTATTGATATGAAGGTTTAATACTAATTAATATTAATTAATTTTATATCAAACCATAAAAAATCACAGATATGTATATGCGTGTATACGCGCGCGCATACGTTTATGCGGGTTTATGCATGTATATGTATAAACATATGTACACACGCGCATGTGTATGTATACACACATATGCAATATGTTGTAGCATTATTATAGGATTATATTAAAATTTGATATCAAACTTTTCATTCTAGAAATGTATTTAAAAAATCTGTCAGTAATTTAAATAGTTGATATTAAAAGAAAATAGATGTAAAACAACACAAAATAACGTTTATTTGTTGATTGAAGATAATATATTTTTTTCTTGTATATTTGATACTATTGATAAACCATAATAAACTTTTTACATAATTTTTTTAATGTAAGTAATTAAAGTTACGTACAATATAATCACATATTAAGTAATTAAACAATTTTTTTCTGATAATTCTTATAATATACAAAAGAATATTTGTGTGGTTTTGCATATCAGACTTTAGAAATTGTGCATTCTACTTGTATAAATAACTTACAGCCAATATTTGATAAACTGCAGATGAAGTCAAATATGGACAGATATGTGGAAACACGCAGCCAACTAATGAACGTAATAAATGATTATTCCTGGACAAAAAAGATAACAAAAGATCCACTATTACTTCAACCCAGTGTGGTTCCTCTTCAATATATGTATTGGTCTCTATATCTTTTTTAGCATTTTTAATTAATTTCTCATAACAACATTGAAGTTCATTTATCGACATAACTGCCATTTCAGGATCTGAGAATAATTGTAAACTCATATGTAAATTCATTGTATGAAATATTGATAGTGCTTCTGTATCCTTTGTAGCATTCTCTAATTTGTCAATCAAATCTATTACTCTTTTCCAAGTATTAAATGTTACATCATTTAATGCTGATCTTAATCGTATAGTATTAGATCTCAATTGTGAGTTAAGATCATGGATAAGTGCACTTAGTAAATTTCGGACATTATCCAGTTTTGGTAATTTATAATCCAGTGCACGATAAAATGAATCCTTAAGTTGTACTAAAAAAAAATAACAAATATTAAATTTTTAACATACAAATAGCAATTGTAGGTAAATGTAACATAAACTTACGCGCTAGATCTATTCCAACATTTGACACTTCACATAAACCATAATTAAACAAAAATTTCAGTTGTGTAAGCTTCCAGTCCTGTTTTAAAAGTGCCTCTGGATGTCCCACCAATCTAAATTAATTAAAAGAAACATCAATTTTATAATATACATTAAATTATTTTAAATCTTCTGTACTGTTTTTAATATATAGAATATCCTAAAAGAAAAAGCGTTATTTAGAAAAAATTGCTTTTTTGACATTAAAGATTAAAAATATTTTGTAATTATTTTCAATTGTGAATATTGACTTAAAAAAAGCAGGTTTTAACTCTGTAGCAGATTTTTCCGTGTAGAATATAACAATAGTAACAATAATAATTTTTATTACACAATGTGCATTCTTTCAACACATCCTTCATCTTACAGTAAAATTAGGAACAGATATTTTTCAAATAATTTGGAAACAAAAATCTTGATACGAGGATGTGATATGAGAATATAATAGTTCTCAAATAATAAGCAATTAAAAATTAATCAACTATAGTGGCTAAAGTTTACGTGTTTATTTATTGTTTGTTTTGCAGTAAGAATCGCATACGTATCGCATGTGTATTTACCTAACGGTAAATGAAGAAACTCTTATGTGTATATATATTTATATGTAGATTAGATCAAACTAAACACAAAATTCTTCCACTATTTTATAAGTAACAACGTAAAATATTTTGAGTTATTAATTAAATTAGGGAACTAAAATCGGGAATAGAGCACTTAATTAGCACTAAAAAGCACTTAATTTTAGGTATGTCGCATTCGATTGTGCTGAAGTAGATGTGTCAGTATATAATAGACATCACACACATACACACGCACGCACGCACGCACATCTGTCATAATTTTACATAAATTTATCACATAAACTTATTATTTTCACATTAATTTATTATTATTACTTATTATTTTCACTTATTAATGGTAGCCATTATTTATATTAATGTAAAATTAAAATTAAAAAATCTAACAGATTTCTTAATGTTTTTTAATAAATATTTGTAACAGACATTTTATGTTATTTCTACACTAGGCACTTTATGTTATTTCTCATGTGGTAAAATATAAAAATAAAATTAATATTGATTAACTGATTAATATAAAATAGGTTAACATAAACTTCTAATAGAAGTATCATGTAACAATCTGTCTCTAAATCTATCATATACAAATATTCTACTTGTGCTGCTTTTATAAACATAATTTGTACGTTTTGTATTTATTTCGATTACCTAAATTATTATTATATAAAAGTAAACCTATCATTATGACATTTTTACATAATTTTTAGATGAATTTGAGAAAAGAAGCGACATATATATGTTCTCTTATCATTGTACTTAAGCACATGAATTTAAACCACCATGGTTAATCAGCTTTAATAAACTTATTGTTTGAAAACTATTATAGCTATTTTATTATAGATATTAAAATTTTTGTTATAAATTATACGTAATGTTATGTATTGTAATTAGTCCTAATTATATTACACAATTATAAAAATAGAATAAGCTGTTTTTATACCACACACATGATCATCTAGTGTAATGGCTCTTAGGGCTCTGCTATCTCGCTGCAGAATGTCTGAATTGATGGTGGCGTCTAGCAGTGTCGAGAACACGAAATAACTGTATCAGCTGATTGGCTGACACTAGGCCAGGCTCACGCTAGGCCTCGCCTGATACCTCGGAAAGTTACTTACGTTTTATCGCGTTATTTTCCAGTTTCTCCGTGAAGTGTGTATATTATCGTGATTCTTACAGCCGTAAAATGTGCAGCAAACTCAGTGATACTGGTGATACATTATGAAAATCGAGAAATTAAATGTGTTCATACATACTGATCTCAGCTGTTACAAACCATCGTGACAGCCGAAAAATATAGCATTATTTCAGAAATTATTTTATGATGTGCTACGTGATATATCAGCCAGATTTATAAGTTTGCTGTACTTTTTACAGGTTTCAGGATTAGGAATATATTTGGTTTTTTAGGGAAAAATAAAAAATAAAGTAATAAAACGCAAGGAACTTTCGGTATGTCATTTCTCACTTCTGACGTCATCAAACCAATATGGCCGTCCGAGAAATAGCAGAGCCTTAATGACCTAATTATTTTAATTTTTTTTATGTGTTTCTATACCAATTATTACAATAAATATGATCATTTTATTACACACACATATATATATATATATATATATATATATATATATATATATATATATATATATCTTGTATATAATTCTAAGTTTATATTTATACCTTGTTAAGAGTTGTGCTGCATAACTTCGCTCGGCATTTGTCCATAAATCTGATTTTATGTCGTCTTTTTTCTTAGCTATTTTGTTTTCTACAATATTTCTATACAACTCACATAATTTTTTAATACCATCAAATGTCAGATTTCTTGTTATCATTTGGATTACTTTGGTACTTGTCTTCTTTTCTATCATTAAGTCACCAGGATGTAGTATAAATTTCTTTAGCATGTTCAGTTGCGTCTCTGTTTTAACGTCTTTATCATTTATAACATATACCATCAAATGCAAAACTTCTTTGAATGCTACTAAAACTTCATCATTATTATTCTTTTTACAATTAGAAAATCTTTTCAACATGTGTTGCAAAAGATTTGGAGATAATAACGCTGGAATTATTGTCTTATCTATAACATTAGGAAGTATCAATCGTAAAATTTCTATGACAATATATTCATCACTTTTTGATGGTTTTATAAATTTTTGGTCAATGCTTTTCCAAAAATCTGCTATAAGTTCAGATGATACCAACTTTTCACAAAATAGTTTAAATACTGGGTGATGGCAAGAGACGATTCTAGGTAAACTCTAAATAAGAATAAAAATACAAAAATTTTATATTATATGATAATATGATATGATTTTATATTATATGATTCACAAAAATATATAAGGTGTAACATAATCATCCCTCGTGTATATGTTAAACCAAATAAAAATTTATCATTTTGTGAACAACTACGTAAAATCTTGAGTTATTAAAACTCATAGCTATTCGTCGTATTAGGACTGTGATATCAGAAGCGACAAATGACAAATTGAATTGTGATATCAGAAGCGAGAAATGACAAATTGAAAATTCTTGTGCTATTTTCAAATTAAAAAATATTTCTACGAAAGAACATTTCAAATCGCTTGATCATACTTGTAAAATGTTCCAAAAACTATCTTTTTCCCTTGGTAATCAATAGATAGCCGTAAAATGAACTTGTTATGCAAAATTATGAGGAAAGATTAAATAGCAAGATGCATGTCACGTTAATTTTATGACTATTTATTGACTGTTAAGAGAACATAATAGTTTTCGGAATATTTTACAAGTATACTCAAGCAATTTGTAGTGTTCTTTCATATAAATATCTTTTTATTTAGAAATGGTACGCAAGAATTTTTGGCATGCGTTTTCTCGCTTCTAACGTCATGAATTCAGAATTTCGTAGAGTACTCGTATACATATCCAGGAGCGTTACTTAAAAAAAAGTATTGATGTATGATGGCGCGTTGTGGTGAACAAGCTATATAAAAGTTCCATTCATTTTTCACCAATCGGCAACTTACAAAGAGCAGAATAACATTGCGAACGATATGTGATTAGCAGCTTTCGTTGACTGTTGATTGGCGAGTAGTCTTTACAGAATTTACCCACTGCATCCGGCACGACTACAAGCCAGTCTTCTTTAAACAATAACTCAAAATTTTATGTGATCGTTTGTAAAATGATATGGAGTCTTATAATATTATTGTATATGCAAGAGACAAGTTGCAAGTAATGAATAATCTTGGAATTGTATTCTTAATAGTTGTTAATGCATATAGTTATATAACGTGTATATAATTTTTTATTCACAATGTAACAAATAAGTCATACTATATATTTTGAGAAAATCGTATACGTTTTATAGATATATAAAGTCTTCCAACATAAATAAAGACAACAATTTTCTTCTTATTAACTTATAAGTGAAAGCGTCGAAGTCAAACTGATTCAGGCACATAAATAAATGCGTTTTTAAATATAAAATAATAATTTTTATGCATCACAAGTTAAAAGTAAAGATTTAAAAAAATATTTTATTTTATGTTTCTCTAACGAGAATTTAAGTATATACTCTTAAGTACATATACTTTTACATACAAGTATGTATACTTTTAAGTACCCAGTAAGCAATCTGTACGCAAACTCGTCAGATTGGCAACAGGATCTGTTGAATTCGAGAAGGATCTATCGACAGATCCATAGTCATCTGCGTCCCCAATCTGCTCCCCGTCAGACTGCTGACAGGGTCTGCTAACAGACTCTGACATCAGATTGGCGGCAGATTGCGCGCAGAGCCAACCGACAGACTCTGACGGCAGATTGCGCGCAGATCGCGCGCAGATCCTGTCGTTTCGTAGGTTCTTCAATTAAATTTTTGGTAGAAAATTTTCTCATAATTTTTCATAATTACTCAGAGAATGAGCGCTTTCTCATAAATACTCATAAATACTCGTAAAATACAATGAAAAAAAAGTTTTTCTATATTTTTTTTCATAATTTTTAAAATTTTCTCTGGTGAGATTCGAACTTGAACCGAACATATCTTTTGGATAATCGTCCGTCGCCTTAGACACTACGCCAATTCCTCACTTGATAAAAAGTACTTTGTATTACCCACTTAAAGTTTAAGGAAAAAAAAATCTTAGAGTTTGTTTGCCTTTTAAACCGCAAAATATAGATGAAATCGTTTAGCGTATAAATAATATAAAAGAGACCGACACGATAATTCGAAATTAATTTTCTATCAAGGACTGTATAGAAAATTACTGCAATAAAACAGTAGATAATGACATTTTTCCATCATAAAATACTGTGCTTTTACATGTGCGAATTAATTTGGTCGATCGTCCAGTTCAAATTGTATTAAATTTTATCAAAATCGAAGCATGATATATTTTCAAATAAACCATCACAAAAATTCTGTAAAAGTTATTTACACGGCGAGACTAATATTTTATTCGGTGCTGCTGCCTTCAGTATTAGGTGAAGTAAAAAGTTCTGAGCGTTTTCCGCTAGATGTCTTTAGTGAGCCATATCTCACGATGTATTCATCGCATCGGGTCATACTATACGGCGATTTAAAGGTGACATTACGCTTCAAAAAAAGTTCTGTGACAGTTTTGTGTTTGGTCAAGCCAGTTGTGTGTTACAGCGTTCCAAAATGGAGGTAAAAAAAGAGAAAATTCGATACATTCTTCAGTACCACTACGACCAAGGTGAAAAGGCGGAGCAGGC